TATTTAGAAGAAGAGACATATTCTCCATTAACTTCTGGAATATCAAAGTCCCAGAGGGTGGGTGTCTGCATGGCCAAGAATCACAGGTAGAAATGGTGGGCAAAGAAATGTGTGCAAAGACAGGAGGAAGAAAGTTCTGAGGGCACCTGGACCTTTGTCCTCTCGGCAGAGGCCATTTTTAAAAGCCTCAGAGTGCCGCAAAGGATTCTGCTTGACATCCAAAAACATAACAATGCAATACTACCAGGAAACATAGAACTGACACCTATAATCACTGACATGCTGGAGATTCTGATCTGAAGATATTAGTTGCAAGGCAGACAAGGCAGGAAAGTCTGCGAGACCTTTTACTTTTTAACTTTCATTATTCTTATTAGTTGCAGCAAAGTTCCCATTAACAAAACATTTTATGAATACATCAATATCACTCTTTTCCATGTGACGCACTAACTAAAATTAACAACCAAACAGAAGATATGGAAATGCCTACTAAAGTATGAAAGCTCAATCCCTGAGCAAAAACAAAGACCTAGAACAGGGCCGAGGTCCTGAGTTCAAGGTATAGAACCAGCATAAATCAAAATAATAAGAAATAATGCAAACCCAACGTGTGGCTGAGAAAATTACCAAAGGTTGGTAGAGAAAAAAAGATGAGAAGAGAGGTCCAAGTACAAACTGGAAGAGTCAAGCCCTGCTCACACATCTCAAGGAGAAAAATCGCCACGGGAAGTGCTCACAACACAACATTCACTACAAGGTGCCCTCAGTGCAATGCACTCTACTCTGCACCCAAAGCATAAGAGTTTTTAATTCTTCCTTTGGAGCTTGAAAGTTCATCAAAGTTCAGTGACAGAGTAAAATTACCACAACTTTTTTTAATCTCAAAGTCCCTGTCCTTCCCCAACCATATTAACTGCATATGGAAGATCTAATTATAATATTCACTATAAGGATGTACAATATATTCAAAAATATAAAATATATTCACAAACACAAAAGAAACAATGAGATCATGTCCTCAACTTAAGAACTGATGGGAAAGCAGATGCCATATCGGAATTTCAGACCTCAATTCCCCAGAGCTCAACCACTCAGGAGCGGTTAGAGGTCTTACCCAATCCCCTTTTCTGGTTCATAATCAGATTTTGTGATTGGCTACTTCATGCCTTTCAACTGCTCTAACAGATGACATCATTCTCCCACCTAGCCTATCACCACCTAGTAGAATCTTAGGGTTTCCATGGAGTTGTCTGTAAACAAATTTGGATCATCGCAAGTGACCAGTGGACAGCGAGCACCATCCAGTGAGCTTCCTACTGGACACATGCTCTCTTAGCTTCAGCTACCCACACTTCTACTCCTGGTATCTCCTCATCCCTTCTATTTCCATTTGATGTGATCTCTTCTCTCGCAATGTCAGGTAGGAAGGGAAACTCAAGGTTTCCCTTCAGATGTTCCTGTGCCCTTAACCAAGGGAAATATTGATTTGACTTCTGGACAACTACCTTCACTTATGGATGGGATATTTACTATGTAGGTAACATAACCAGTAGGTTCAGACTCTCACAAAATCAATTGCTTCATAGGCCACATCAAGAAGAGCCCAAACACCCGTACTTTCATATTTCTGAAACTGAGTCTTGAAAGGTTTGTAGGTAAAGAGAAGAAGACTATGGAGTTCTTCCCACTGTCATTTTAAACAAATTAATTCAGAAAGAAACCTATGTGGGAGAGAAGATATACGTCACCTGAAATGGTCTCTTTCCACTAATATATCCACATAAGGATTCCACACGTAGTACTGTTCCAAAAATAAGACTGTTGAAATCCCAGTAATTTCTTGGATTGTGATTTATCTGTAAATCAATGGAAAAGGAAAGATTAGGAGTAAGGAGGGAAGACAGGCAGATATACTGGAACAGGAAGGGAAGGGGGGCAAAAAAGTAACAGATAAGGATACATGAGCAAAGAACGCAAGGGATGTACAGCATGGAGATGTTTTTTTAAAAAGAGTGATGGTTTGGAATGGAATGTTGAAGAGAACCAAAGATTTTTAAATCAATACACAGAAAACATGGAGTGAACGCTTAGAGCAATCACAGTGAAGTTAGTTTGAGCCAAAGCTTACATTAATGGACTAGAAAGAAAACTAAGGGTACAACAGAGCATTATTAAGAGCAATTTCAAACAAGGGGATTGCATTGTTCTGTATGTTGGCTTCGTTGTGGACTTTATTTCCTTATTATTTGTGTTTATGCTCTTTTGCCCAGACGGGTCTCAAACACCATGAAATAATGATTCCTGAAACTCAACATCCCAGGTGCTAGGAATACATAGGTGATTAATTCAAAACCATTTTTGTTCAGCTCTCACAATACATAAATTATGAGTACTTAAGAACTGGCAATTCCTGCAGGTTACTGCTTTTCACATACATTTTACAGATATATCCTGTCAGTATGTACTGGGTAGAATTTCATTCAAAAACAAGCCATATGGGTGGCTTGTAATAACATGATAATTGGAATTGAAGCTACTCAAAAATTGAGTGGGAAGATTCCAAATTGAATGCCAGCCTTGGCAAGATTCTTAAATGTTTCTCCACATACACACACACACACACACACACACACACACACACACACATACACACAGACATACACATACACACACAGACATATACATCTAACTTCTTAGCAAGCTCCAAGAAGCTGCCATCTATAATCCTACTTGGTCATGAGACTGAGCTATGAAGATCACAGTTTTAAAAACAGTCCTGGCAGGAGAGTCTCAAAAAACTTATCTACAACAAACCATCAAAAAGTCAGATATGAAGCTGTGAATCAAGAGGAAGAGGGCTAGCCTTAAGAAATAGGGCTCTGGGACAGAAAGCAGATCCCAAGTCCAATGCTGAGGACCAGAACACCCCACACAAACTATTCTTAAGTCACAGTTACTCACTACTTGAATCATGGTCTTGTTTTTTCATTTTGGTTGTTGTTAAAATGAAGCAGATATATCCCTTTTCATAAGATTGCAAGTGTGATATATATATATATATATATATATATATATATATATATATATATATATGTTAGTAAATATAGAATATAAGATGCTGGACATATATCCAAATTTTCATTCATATCTTTATGATTTTACTTAGATATATCATAGTTTAGATTTTTGTCTAATGATACAGAACTTATTTTATCTCTCTCCATGTCAGTCCTGAAGTAAATGCCACTTTTATACATTAGCCATGGTTTTCTTAATTCACTAATACTATTATACTCACCCATCACTGATAAGTTACTAGAAGTTCAGAAAGTTAAACATCTTTCATACAAAAGTCTTTTCTGGAGTAACTCACTCTCACAGAGTCATTGTAACTTAGCATCATAAGTCAGACCTGAGGGGATCAAATACCCTTTTAGTAATCATCTTGTAAGCACTTCAACAGAATTGTACAAAATGGTGGGTGACTTGGACAGGGTGAGATCCCAACAATGGCAATGCAAATATCAGCCCAGTTTCCATTTTTAAAATGCCTATCATGAGGGTCGAATTTCAGGTCTGGATGCTTTCCATTAACTTTTGTGTTCAAGGCTTGAGCTCTACTTTTTGAGTCACAACCTCACATTTTGCTTTGCAGTGGTGACCTGGAAATATAATTCACAGATTATCCAGAGCCAGCTGACATTGATCTGTGATCCTCAGATCTCAGCCTCCTTGTAGCTAGGAGTTCAGGCATGTCACTGGAACCAGGCACAGTTTTGTTTGTCCTTATGCAAAATATTAACTGTATAATAATGTTCAGAAAAGTGCATGCTTAATAAAAGTCATGGATTGTAGATGAAAACCAATGTGGATAAAGTGAAGGACAAAAATCTAAAGTTCATTTCCATTTCTAAAATTCGAGTTTATTCTAAATCAAGTTTAATTTCAGTTCACCCTAAATACACAGAGCGCCTTGTTCATGTCCTCAAAGCCGACCATAAGAATTATAATTAGGGCAAGACTGTTTTCATAGACAATAATGCAAGTTATTGTTCATACTTCTGGGGTGCTATTTGGCTCAAGCTGAAGAGGAATATTAGGTAGGTTTGAAAAAATATGTAAATTTTCACAATATTTTAATTTAGTTGTAGTTTCTATTTATGGCTGTATTAATTATAATATCGAAAAAGATTCCTATCTGTTACTTGTTTAGTAAGATAAAGAGAAATATGAAATGGTCAACTAAAGGATTATATTAATTAAGTTCCCGTGAATCGCATCATTTTGGCTTGTTTTACATTTTCCTGCTTTGATTAGTTTGTGTTTTAATGCTATACTGCTCAAACTGGTCTCAGAGAGAGTGATATCATTGGTGCTCCACCTAATTGAAGGTAAGTGTCTCATGGATCTTTCTATCTGGAAAGATACTCAGATCTCGGTCCACATATAGCTAAAGGTTTAGGCAAGCAGATCAAAGGCTCTCTGCTTTCTCATGAACAACATCAACTGCCCTCTATGCAAATTGGTATTTCTACCAAGTTCTGTTCTTTGCTCAGAACACAGAATCCTGGCGTAGGAGTCAGGCTCAAGGATCAGGTTGACCTCTCATCTCTCCATTTCTTTACTCCTAAAATGAGGTTACAGCTTCCCCAGGGATGTCCTAGTAAAACACATTCCTCTTAGGACATTCAGCAATTACTCCAACTGCTGACTGAGGCGAAGACAGAACGAGAAAGAAATGCCTGCTTTAGCGCAGGCAGCAATATCCATCTGGACCACTGGGTGTCTTGGGGTTCCCAGCATGGCTTGTGAAAGTTCTCCAGAAGAACACCAAAAGAATCCAACCACTTCTCACCATGCTAACGTGAATAGTGACATGTCAGTTGTGATTGGGATGAGAGAGTTACTGATCATAGCAAAGTTCAGATAGCCCTGTTCCCAAATACATTGAGAATCTGTCCATCTCATGAGTTTTGAAATCACACTCTTGCTTTTTCCAGATAATTTCTGCAATCCATATGTCCTTGGAGCTGCAAACTCGGGGCAGCTCTTTCTTCCTATGGGGAGTGATGCCACTTATATAACAGCAAGTGCCTACAACATCTCCAGACTGCAGATACCAGTCTTCACTTCAGCCTGGCCACTGCCATCACCCTTGGCCACCTCTTTCCACCCACTCATGGGGAGTGCATACCTGTGCCAATATTCTACCACAACCATGTGGGCAGGGCAGGCTGCACACAGCCACATCTCCACCTCAGCTGCCTCCTCTTCCAGGATTTGGGAATGGGACATGCTAGGCCACAGCACTGTGACTCTCACTCAGCAGAGCACAGTGATCTCTTCATCAACTTTGACCAGCCAGTACACAACATGTGCACATGCCAGAGCCACAGTCTCTCCATATCCATCACTGTCTCCCAGCCTGGTTCAGGGAACCCCGGCTTCTCCCATGGGACCTGAAGAGGATATCCAATCCCGTCCCTACTGGGAAGGAAGACAGGGCTGTTGCTGTCACCCGCACACACTGGGACCTCTGTTCTCTGGAGAATTTGGTCCCTGCCTGCAGCCTCATGGCTCTGTGTCCGACATGGGGAGTAGGGCCTCTACCCCTCAATCAGACATAGGAAAGGACCTTGTGGTTATACATCCCATCAATGATTTACCACCGGTCTGCACATTGGAAATGTACTACTCAGAGACTGCTGAACCCACCCAAGACACAAATGTTCCAGGTGAGTAAAGAGAGCCAAGATGAGTAAAATTGGAAACACCTATTCTCTATTTAAGCAAGGATAATCACACACACAGGTTGATTGGGCTCCAGAGCCACAACCACTACATTCACTATATTCTCTCAAGCTGTACCTTCCACTTGAGGCAATGAGGGATAAACACATGGCTCAACGGGTACAGCATTGACCTAGAAACACAGTGTCCTGGATGCACAGCTCAATACCAAAACAAAATTGAGCAATTAATCATTAAATGAAGGAATATGGAAAGACCATGTCCATATGAACTGCATTTAGGAGAAGAACACAGGTAAATACATGGAGGCTATGCTGTTATCCCTTGAAAAAACACTGAAAGGGAACCAACCCCATTCATTGATCTATTAATATGGGTATTTTGGAAAATACCTCAATAAATTCGCAGGAGTAGTAGTTATATTTTTCTTACTCATAGATGTGGTTAAATGCAACAAGGCTCAGGATATATCCTTTCTGTGCATATAAAGTTTTTACTTCTTGGTAGCAAGTGGCTAATGCCTGGAAAACTGGATACTCAGGAGGCTGAGATCTGAGCATTGATAATCAAAGCTAAACCTGGCACACATGTCCTTGTGATTCTTGTTGTCTCTTAACCAGCCAAAATCTAAAAATACAGGATTGGTCCAAGTGCATAAGAGCAGGAAAACACTAAAACTAGAGAAAAAGGGTCAAGAAAGAGTAAGATTCCATAAGGAATCGTAAAAATCTAAGTTCATGTGCAGTTATGTATACTTACACACAAACACACCCCCACACACGCACAAACACACACAAGTACACAATGAATAATTCAAACAGAGAATACAGAAAACATTCCTTGCTGTTCAATGTTTCAATGTTAAACAGGTATTACTTACAGGTTGGGACAAGAATTGACTACCAATAAGAGAAAGCCTGGCTTTCCACTACGGTTTTGCTTACCTCCTTGGGGAATGAGTGGGTTTGAACCCAGAGCCAAGAGAATAGCAAAAAGATGCTCAAACATTGACTCACACTGCAAGGCTGAAATGTTTCATGTTCTTTCAATCACTTTTACTTTTATATTCCTTATAATGAATGTCTAAAGTAAAAGATGGAAAAAAACAATGTCATCACATTGTCACCATTGATAGCTAGAGCATTCAGAACCCATCTGAAACACAGAGTCTTGTCCATGGTGCAAAGGTGGGCCCACAGGAGCACATGCACAGTGTTGGCACAGACCTGCTTCATTGGTTGGTGAGAAGGTGGGACATCTCACTTGGAGGGGACTAACTTTTCCTTCATTTCTTGGAATTCTTGGAGACTCTCCAGGAGATGCACATGGCCCTAGCATGGAGGCCTCCTTTCCTCACATTGTGTCAGCCAGACATTCCAGACTAGACCAAGGCCTGCAGGAAGGTAAGTCCTAAATCCATGGAAAGCAACAATCCACCTAGCTTTGGCACATTTCAATCAGAATTCTAGTCCAAAATCAGTCCCATTTTCTAGGACTTGATTCCACCTCTAAACCAGAAACAAAAGGGAGGTAAATATTTATGAGAAATTCAAACCAACAGTTCAAAGCCTTTGTATATCTCTCAGATCTCTGTAGCACGGCAGGATCTTCATAACTTCCTTTAACAATCTACCACATTCCCCAATGATTGGCTTGCATGAGTCAGTTGGACCAAGGAATATAGCCTTGTGATTTGGTCATTTTAGAAAAGATCAGCCTGAGCCTTGAAGAACTAGACATCTTTGAAATGGGAATTAAAAGGAACATTGCTCTTGCTGACATTTCCATGCTGGGGGAGGGTAATCATACTATTTGGATTCACTTTAATCTAACATTGAATGTTAGTGTCAATTCACTTTAATTTTTAATTCATTGATAGATCTTATGCAATTGACAGTTGACACAACAACCCAACCCCAAAATATGGGAAGCGTCAAAGGGAGCCTGCAAATGAAGAACTCAATTGGCAGCAACAGTCCCTCAATTCAACCAGGGAAGAACAAGCATGAAGTCCTTGAGCTTGCTGATGAAGCTCCCAAGGCCAAAGTCCAGCGCCAGAACCCAGAGAAGCACTTGGAAGAACAAGCAGTAGTGTGCACTCTCCCACGTAGTGACACTGGAAATCTATGCAGGCCTTCTACCAAGAAACGGCCAAAACCGCCACACAGCAGCATCAGCCAAACGAAGACCCAGGGGTCACAAAAGAACCAACAGGTTAGAGAAACCAACAGGAAGCGCATTGGAACAACCAAAGAGCCAGGGAACCAAGTGCAAACACAGAAGACAAGCACTACAAAGGAAAGGCGTAAGAGAAACCAACCTGAGCCTTCCCAAGAGGCCTTGAGAAAGCCTCGAAGCCACCTAGCCATGCACATGATGGAGTCAGTGCAGGTTTTTCATGCACTGGGTGATAAGAGGGGGAAGAAAACGGGGCTGCCTACTTCCAGGGCCTTGGGACAGGCCAACGCTTCCAAAGACACCAGATTTTCAACAGAGACTCAGTCAAACCTGCATTCTAAAAGTCCTCTGAAATTTCGAGTAAACAAAACAAAGCGCAGTTCAGAAAATCAGTGTCCCTCCCCAAGCCAGAGTGAGCTGCTGCCTCCACCTGGAAAGGTCAAGTTGGTGCCATTGCCTTTTCTCTCCCCAGAGAAGCCTCGAGTTCGACCTGCTTCTCGCAGGCCACAGTCTCTGGCCTCCAGGAGACCCACTGGAGCTTACTCTACCCGGCCTCTTCCTAACACAGCCCAGCCTGTTCCAGTCAATGCAGCCCAACCAGCTACCGACAACTCATGTCTGATGACAACTCGGCCTACTATCAGCAATTCCACTCTGGGGGCAATCAACAAACGTCCCCAGTCTGTTCTTTCTAGTAGGCCGGCACCCTACGAAACCTCATCCTTCACATCTCGGTGGAACACTACTGCCACCAAGCTCAGCTCACTACCTAAGCCTCCACACCAATATCTCCTACAAGACTTCAGCTTGCAACCCATTCCATGGAGGAAATCCCATGTTCCTGGCCCAGTAGAGTCAGATCCCATCAGCAAGGAGCTGAGGCCAGAGCGGGAAGCCATGAAAAGACAGGCTCAGCAAGAGCGTGGCAAGGCTGCCAAAAACACCTTTGTGGGGAAAATCCCATTCTTCCACCAGAGACAAATAGACATGGAGATTGCCCAATACTATGGCTATGCCATATAATACCTTTAAGACTGTGAGTCCCATTTCCACTACCCAATTTTGCTTTAATCCCCTGTATATTGTAAGTGTTACAGAAACTACATAAACATATACAAATGTATTGATATTTTCACCTAGCTTCATAGTTAAAGTACACTTAAATTCTTGCTTTCTGTATTTTAATAGTTCTTCAAAGGGAAAAATGCAACGTGGTACAATTAATAAATGATTAATAAAACATATCTCTTTTCCCATATAAGTAAACTTGTGTTCTTTTCAGGTATTGTTAGGCATCAAAAGCTTTGCTGGCAAAAGAAAATAGTGTGCTATGGGAGAACAAAGAAGAGGCAGCAGGACTAACCCATAGGAAGGAAAAGATTCATCAAGGAAAATGAAGGCCAGAAAGGAGAAAGTCTCTAGGTTTTGTAGAAGAATCATGAGTCAGCCTCACAACAGAAGGGGGAAATGAAATATGATGTCCACATTCAAACAGCAACTGTTAAATCCGTTGGAAGGTAGGCTTAGTGGATCTTGAGTGTGTAAACCATTCTCCTGTAGATAATAGCGGTATGTCTCAAAAATCACCAGCACACCCCCTGTAGGAGACACACTGAGAGCTCAACAAGAGCATCCCAGGTAAATAGGAGGCTGAAAACAGAATCGGTGACTTTGCCAGGTTGGATAGGGTAATCCTTGTTACACTTATGTGACATTTACCAGCCAAAAGCCAGAAGTAGACTTGTGACTCAAGTATTAAAGCCCCAGCCTTGAGAGAAAAAACTTGGTTTCTATCCCCACTACTAGAACACAAGAACCACAACACCCTCCACTCACCCATTCCCCCCGCCAACACATGTCATTCAGTACACAACTCTTATAGCTGTGAGTTATCAAAAATGTTTTATGGGAGAGTCATATATATAACTGTGGTAGAAACTTCACAAGGAGGAGGCAAGGATTCCAGGTCATGCTGACACTATTGGCCAAGCTAAGGCCTGGCCCACTGAACTAGAGCAACGTGAACTCCAGCCAAAATGTGGACTGACCAAGTACCATTCGTTTGCTCAACACACATGCCCATGTTAGCAAGGTTCACTACTTCAATTAAACTACAAATAAACAAGGCTATAACATCCCTCTACTTGTCTAGAGTGAGTCAGCAGTTGTGTGGGATCACACTACAGGCAAAGTCTCACAGTGTCTTTTAGAGGCACCAGACTCTGAAGATGTCAGAGATTACAAATGTCCCTGGTGTCCAACCACTCCTTCTGGGAAAAGGAATCAGACCTCGTGAGTGGACACCATCAAATATCACAAGGGGCTGAGAGACAAAACAAGGTGGAGTCCACCTTCCCAACCATTCCTAGTTATAAAGCACAGGAGATAAATCTTCTTCCAGTGTCATTCCCACCCATGTTGTGTAGCATCCATGCTGGTGCAGTTGGTCACACTCCATGATACAGAGTACTAGACTGAGCCTTTCTGCAAGTTGAAGGTGCAGGTGAAGGAATACTGGCTGGGCAGTACTAAGAATAGTTAGGAAAGTGGGAGGAGAAGGAGATAGAGAATGGGTGGAAGGACATTGTCAAAAAATAATTACATTTAAAAATATTTCTTGAGAATACTATCGATCAAATTCATCCTTTGAGTGACATAATTCAGTGTTATCAGCTATCAGAGATTATTTCCTTCAAGAAAACACCTCTCTTCTTCACATTTTTGTGCTTATAGGGGCCTGAATTCAGCACCAAAGCTATGGCATTTAGCAGTTGTACACAAAGCCAATGCTCTTCTGCTTAAGCCCCAGTTTCACTCTTTGCTTTTAGCTACTTAAAAGGAGATTAGAGTCTCAGGGATTTCTCTATGAACCTGATATAGACGGTGATCCCTAGGTCTCAGCCTCCTGAGGAGCTTGTCCTACAACCATGGGCTGCCAGTGCCTAACACCTTTCTCACTTCTGAATGACCTCAGAGTCACCATCAGGAGTGTTCACAAAGATTTTACTACTCCATAAACGTATAGAAAACTCAGCGTTTTGAATAATGAACCAAGAATCATTGAACGGGCCCATAGGCAGACTATGAACTTTAACAGAATGAATAAAGTCCTATTCCACCAATCTTCCATGAACACACATGAACAACCATGAAAATTCATCCCTAATTGGAAAAGGTTACTAGTGGAAATTGCTCATGAGAAAAGGAACAAAGAGTTATAATAATGGAGTTTGACAACTTATAAGCAAGAATATTTAGCTTGAATTTATATCATCAATCTTTTGGAGCAGTAGGAAAATATTGGTAGGGTCTTAATGCCCCATTTTACAAAGAGGTCTGAATGGACATGAAGTGGGTCATGAATAGTCCAGAAAAGAAAAGTCTAACTTTGGCTTGCATTTCAGATTTGCTATCAAATCACTTACTTGGGAGGAGAACAAACTCAGTTATGTTGAACAATGCAGAATCTACATGACAACACAAGCAAATTTCCACAGGGTATGGCAAAGTGCAGCACTTTGTGTGGAAGCAGGTCTACTGAGAGGTAAAAGAATGTTTTCACAGCCAAGGTTTGGTGGCCCATAACTGTAATACTACGTACTCAGAAGGCTGAGATTTGGGGATTGCTGTGTGAAGCAAGGCTGGCCAGGAAAGTCCCTAGACTTAGCCCCAACTAAGCACTGAAAACAACCAGAAGTAGAGCTGTGGCACAAGTGGTAGAACACTGGCTTAAAAATAAACCCAATGGACCTTGCCCATGTCCTGAGTTCAAGACCCAGGTCCAGGATAAAAAAAGATACAATTCCTTCTAAAGACATAGTAATATACTGACTGGAAAATCAGAAGACAACATTTTTAAAGTGAGAAAAACTCACATAGCTTACAACAATAAAATCAGTCTTTTGTTGTTAGAAGGACCCATAGCATGGGATCCCAAACTATAGGGACCATACTTGTCTTGAATCTTAAATGAGAGGGATTGGAGGAGGAGTGGGTTATGACTCACCTATGTCATCACAACTCAACAGGAGCCTAAGATCTGAGGATCACTATTCCATGAGAGTCCATGTGTACAGGTAAGTCCATAAGACATTGATCTCCAAAGAACCAGCAAATACCAGGCATTGGAACTGTGGCTCAAATGTCAAAGCACTAGTCTTAAGAAAAACAATTCAGGGACAAGACCCAGAACTTGAACTGCAGCCACAAGCCTGTCACAAATCCAACCAATAAGCAAACAAAATCCTAAAAAAGAAGAGAGGTCCTCAGGAATAGAAAGTCTGCTTAAGTGATGCCAAGGTAAGTCCCAGGTGCTCTGATGAAAATGAAATACAGAAGTGCATCCATGTGCAACAGAGGTGTGGCTCCACTGTTGGACCAGAAGGCTTGATCCATAGAGTTCAAGGACATAGCCCAGGATGCCAATCCAAACTCTAGTACCTGAGGGAGCACATGCAAACACACAGTAATACCTTACAGTACCTGAGACTGCAGCCTAGAATTCAGAGGCTATAATTATAAAGAAAAAGAATTAACTTTATGCTTGACTGGTAACCAATGCAAGTCTAGTTGCAAGTAGTGCATTCAGATACAATATGTGCAACTGTGATAGATAGACAGGGACCATTACTATTGTATTCAATGGGACCAGTGAAGCCAGGAAAAGGGTCAACCCAATGGCCATTAAGCATCCTGCAGCTCTGAGTATGTGTCAGGTCTTTCTTCTTATGTTGGGATACTCTACCCTCCTAACTTGGTCAGTTTGGGATATGTTACTCTATGGTCTTAGGGGCAGGGCTAAAAAAAATATCTGGGGTATCAGAGTTGGCCTCTTGTCTTGCATGTCCCTCTGTCATCACTTTTAGAAATCACTCATGGATTCCTATCCTGTAGGCAACATCTGGTAAATGCTTCCTATGTTCAGCTCTTGCTGCCATACTACTGAGCAGAAAAGATTTCTTCCAAACAGTGTGGCTCTTACTCATACAAATGATCAGAAACTCACTCATTTTTCACCAGTCAAGGAGTCGTACTGAGTAGTAAGAAGATAAGTCACAAGAGAAGTAATAACCAGGGCATAGAAAGCACACACAATCCTAACAGTGGTGGGCTGGACGCAAAATCTGTTCCTTACATTTGTGTGTACAGCGCCGCCTAAAACAGTACCTGTGCTCAAAAATTTAGTGATGGGTTGTTGTTTCTTTTCAATAAAATCAACTTTTCTTTCTTTTTGTCTGTGTTTTAAATATTTTTTTTTAAAGTTAGTGGCAGGATTGGAAAGTGGCAAAGTTTGTTCACCGTTCTTCAAATATTGCTTTGATGAATGGCAGGCTTTTTGTACAACTACTTAAAGATAATATAAATATGAAAACACAAACTAACAGTCACATGTCATTAGAAGTGTAGCTATGGTTCAAGAGGTTGAGAACAGCATTTCACAAAAAAACCCAAAGAAAATCTAAGCATCACTGCTAGGATATCAGTTCAATCCTGGTTAAAACAATGAGAGAAGCCTATATGGCTTGTTGCACAGGGGCCTAAGACAACAGGACAAAAGTCCAAAAACCAAACCAGCAACCAAGTCCATGGCATTATTGTAAACAATTGAACATGTCTCCTAAAGAAAGGTGTAAATATCACTGTAGTTGTGACCCAAAATTTGTTGTGACATTTTATATAGATATACATGAATATATATATGGTAACAACTATAAATATATAATTGTATATATAGATATGCAAAGCTATATATATATATATATATATATATATATATACATTATGTATCTAATAAGAGATATAAACCTACCCTTTCACACACTAAATGAATAGTGTTCGATTCCATAAAAATGAAAATAAATGCATGGACAAAATATAACCTCTTAAAAGCAATCCACAGAAGACAAGCATACTAACCAATGGCATAAATATGATTTTTGACATAAGAAAGTTTTTAAATATTCATTTCAGGGACATTTAGCCTTTAAGTGTTTACAGTGTATAGAAGTTTCAGAACAAAAGAG